TGTATGTTTATTTTTTTTCGGGAAGATTTCCAAACGAGAGTTTTTTTCTTGTTGTTGTTTATTCTAAGTTTTCATATATTTTTTCTGTTTTGTTAACCTATATATATGGTAAACATCCCAAACGTGAAAAAAAGCGACGAAAGTAATAATAATAATTTATAATCAAGTCATTCATTATATTCACACACATCTCCCCATAAACACATCATCATCATTGATGATGCAAAGTTTCAATTACCGCCGTTTTTTCGTTTTCGTTTTTTTTTATTTTTGGAGAGAGAGAATGGTGTTAATGCGAAGACATTTTGTCGAGGAAAATCTCTTCTTTTTGTTGGTTCAAAAACAAAATAATAACGGTTTTTTTAAGACGTTTGTTTCGCAAAAAAACAAAACAAACAAACACACACGGGACTATGACCCTTTTCTTTATGCGGAGAAATTTTCCCATAAATTTTTTTTTTCCGAAAAGTTTTTTTTTCTCTATTGTTTGTTTATTGTTTTTTCTTCAAATCATAACAAATTGTACTATAATTTCAATTTTTTTTTTCAATGTTTAGATTTGGGATTTCGTTTTTCAATGCTCCCAGATATAACAATGGAAAAGAATTATGTTTTTTTTTCGGTCGGGAATAGTTTCAGCAAAAAAATTGTGTAAATATTTTTTTTGGAAAATTTAAATTTCATAAAAACATTATGTGTGTGGGTGATTGGGGGTTATGTTTTTGTGGATTTCTGACGACCAAAAAAAAAATTCTTCTGTTATGATAATTTTCATCAGTTTTTGTTTCTGGGGAAGATTGTTTCATCGGAATCACACAAAGAAAGTGAGAGGTGTTGTTTTTTTTTGCTTGAAGAAATGAATTTGAAATAGCTGAAAGGAAATTTTCCCTGGAATTTTTTTTTTGTATCTCACTTATGACATGTTTTCCAGAAAACTTTTTTTATATAACTGGGGTGACTATATAAGAAGAAAAAAAATTTCCCGGAAAAAAATTTTTAATCACAAAAAAAAAACTTTTTTTTTCCCGAAAACATTTTTGTCATTCAAAAATATGACAAATGTCAATCAAAAAGTGGGAAAGAAAAAAAATTTTAAACGACAACAAAATTTCAAAGAGGGGGACTTTTGTTGTCAACTTTACTTGACTTGGCTCAAAAAAGAAAAAAATCCATTATTTTTTTTTTTTTGTTACCCAATTAATGATGATAATCATCGTCGTCGTCGTAATTATCATTAAAATAATGATGAAAATCGACCGAATTCTTCTGTCGACTCTATTGAGTAGAAATAGAATTTGCATAAATGCAATATGATTCTGTTCAAAGAAAGAATTTCCTATGAATGTGTGTTTGAGATAAGTTTTTTTTTCCATACTGTTTCGCTCTTCAAAGAGAGATATTAAATGACGGGATGGGGGGAACTATGGGGTTGAAAAGAAGAAATTAATTTGTTTAATACCAACACTTGCTTAGCATCTAGGGTTGTATTAGTCTCAATTGATCATTTTCCTTGGAATAGATATATAGTGTGTGTGTGTGTTCGTTTAGAGGTAACATCTGGTTTCCATTTTTTTNTTTTAATTTCCATCTTTTTTTTGTTTTCGTTTTTTTTGGAGAGAGAGAGAGAGAGAGAGAGAGAGAGAGAGAGGTGTTAATGCTCGTTTGAAAAAGTAAGAAAAACATTTTGTCGAGGAAAATCTCTTCTTTCTTTTTTTTGTTGGTTCAAAAACAAAATAATAACGGTTTTTTAAGACGTTTGTCTTCTTCTTGCAAAAAAAAACCAAACACACACGGGACCATGACCCTTTTTCTTTATGCGAGAAAATTTTCCCATAAATTTTTTTTTTCCCGAAAAGTTTTTTTTTCTCTCTATTGTTTGTTTATTGTTTCTTTCTTCAAATCATAACAAATTGTACTATAATTTCAAATTTTTGTTTCTTCAATGTTTAGATTTGGGATTTTATTTTTCAATGCTCCCAGATATGGAACAATGCGAAAAGAATTATGTTCGGTTCGGGAATAGTTTCAGCAAAAAAAAAAATGTGTAAATATTTTTTTTTTGAGAAAAAAAAAATTTAAATTTCATCAAAACATTATGTGTGTGTGTGGTGAACTGGGGGTTATGTTTTTGTGGATTTCTGACGACCAAAAAAAACAAAAATTCTTCTGTTATGATAATTTTCATCAGTTGTTTCTGGGGAAGATTCTTTCATCAAAATCACACAAAAAAAGTGAAAGGTGTTAAGATTTTTTTTTTTTTTTTGCTTGAAGAAATGAATTTGAAATAACTGAAAGGAAATTTTCCCTGGAATTTTTTTTTTGTTTGTATCTCACTTATGACATGTTTTTCAGAAAACTTTTTTTTATATAAGAAGAAAAAAAATTTCCCGGAAAAAAATTTTTAATCACAAAAAAAAACTTTTTTTTCCCGAAAACATTTTTGTCATCCAAATATGACAAAAATGTCAATCAAAAAGTGGGAACAAAAAAAAAATTTTAAACGACAACAAAATTTCAAAGTGGGGGACTTTTGTTGTCAACTTTTACTTGACTTGACTTGGCTCAAAAACGAAAAAATCCATTATTTTTTTTGTTTGTTACCCAATTAATGATGATAATCATCATCGTCGTCGTCGTAATTATCATTAAAATAATGATGAAAATCGACCGGATTCTTCTGTCGATTCTACATAGTGAGAGTAGAAATAGAATTTGCATAAATGCAATATGATTCTGTTCAAAGAATTTCCTATGAATGTGTGTTTGAGATAAGTTTTTTTTTCCATACTGTTTTGCTCTTCAAAGAGAGATATTAAATGACGGGAGGGTGGAACTATGGGGTTGAAAAGAAGAAATTAATTTGTTTAATACCAACACTTGCTTAGCATCTAGGGTTGTATTAGTCTCAATTGATCATTTTCCTTGGAATAGATATATAGTGTGTGTGTGTGTGTTCGTTTAGAGGTAACATCTGGTTTCCATTTTTTTTCCTTTATACTTTTGTTTGGCTGCTAAATTCCTATACAGTAAAGTTATAATGAAATTTTCTGTGTTAAGAAATTGATTCCTCTGTTCTGTAGTTTAATGTTTTCCTTCTTACTTTCAAAATCGGTCGTCTTATTCTGGGTACCATATGTGGATAATATGTTTTTTTTTGTTTCATTTTCGTTTTTGTTTCAATTTCTCTCGTTTGAAAATTAGCCTGACAAAATTCTGTTGTTTGGATCATCATCATCATCATCATTGTTAGAATGGAAAGTTTTTTCTCTATGACAATTTTTCTGTTGTTTGATTATATATCTTTTGGATTCTGTTCAACTGCTGTGATTGATAAAACGTTATTTAAAATCAAATTATGTAAATCTATCTCTCTCTCTCTCTCTCTCTTTCTCTCTCCCACACACTCTCTGTGTGTGTGTGTGTGTAATGTCAACAACCATCCAAAATTATTAATTATGGCAATTATTTCAACCATTCCCAGTGAAGAAAAAAATTTGCTCGTCAATTTAGGATGCGAACCAAAAAAAAAATATTCAAAAATTAAATTAACACTTTAAAAGTATGAAGGGGTTGAATGAATTTCAACTTTTATTTACATAAAAAGAGAGAGAGAGAGAGAGATTAACATAATGAAATTCTGTAAACATTTTTTTTGTGAAAAAAAGAATGTCAGTGCGAACAACAAAAAAAAAACCTCCGAACAACAACAACAACAACAATTCTTTTGATGCTTTGAACACAGAGAAAACATCAAATATCATCGTTTGGTGAAGTGATGTGATGCGTGTGTGATGTTTGAATATAAACAAACAAAACAACCATTGTGAGCAGGGAATGGGGAAAAAAGTAGAGAATTTTGCTGAAGAATATTCTCAATTTGAATATTCACCAAAAAAAAAAAAAAATTATACAAAGAATATTCTCTCTCTTCAACCATATTGGCATAATAATTTTCTTTTCTTTTGCATCTTCAAAATAATAATAATAATAATGAAAATGAAACCCTAATGATAATTCTCAATGAGAACATTGGCATGATGATGATGGTTTTTTTTAGTGGAATTTTTCATTGAAATTATAATGATGATGATATGAAACGAAAAGTTCTTAACATCTGAATTTTTTTTTTTGCTTTTGCTTTTTCGGATGTTTTTGTTTCTGGTTATTAGAATAATGATGGCTGATGGATGGATGGATGAATGTAGAGTGAGAGAGAAAGGATAAGTGTTTTATGAATGTTGTTGTTTTTAACTGGAAATATTCCAGGAAATTTTCCCGAAAAAAAAATTTAATTTAATTTAACCCCGAAAAATAAGGTTATTAACTTCGAGGAGGAAAAATATATTCTTTTGCAAGGCGGACATATGGAAACATATGTTATATTATTATTATTGATTTTGGATCTGTTTTTTTTTCTAAAAAGGCCATTAATATGGATGTGATGTGTTTTTTGAAATTTTCTTTTCATTTATTATTATTGGACAAATTTTTTTCACTTTTAACTTGATCAAAATGTGCGTAGAAATAGGCGACAATTATCCAAAAAAAAAAAAAATGATTTGTTATGGTTGGAGTTGAAATAGAGATTTAGATGTAATGGATGTATAGAGATCTGGCAAAAGCTGTTTTTTTTCCAAAATTGTTGTCGTTTTATTTTACTGTTTTTTTTTCGTGGAATTCTGCAAGAAAATTGTTGTTTTAATGGGGAAAATTTCTCAGAAAGAAATAATGTTTTTCGGAAAATTCTTTTTTTTCGTTCGCTTTGTTGTTTTCGATTACCAAAACTACTCGGATGTGCTTTTCAAAACCAAACCAAACCGAACCAAACAAACAAAACAAAACAAAATCAAAAAATTATCGTGTTTTGAATTCTTAATGTTCATTAATAATGATTATAACAATGATGATAATGATAATGATCATAATAAATTAATTTTATGTTTCGTTTTTTTTTTCGTTACTTACCAAACAAAAAAAAACAACAACATTGGAAAATAAAGTTGTTGTTGTTTTTTTGGAGAAAAAACCGAAAAGGAAATATCCATTGTCGATAGGAAATAAAGATTGGGAAAGAAAAACGATCAGAAATTTCCCAGAAAGAAGGAAAAAAGGGAAAATGAATCGATATCTATGGCCGATGGCATGAATGACATTAACATTTTGATTTTGTTTTTTGTTTTTTTGTTCGTTACAAAATGACAGAACTAAAAAAAAATAAAGATTTCAAATCAATTTGATCAATCGATCGATTGATAATAAAATGAATTGAATTAACTTTATTTACGCCTGTTCGGCAAAATCACAGACGGGTAAAACAACAACATCAATAATAAAAATAACAATAATAATAAAAAATAAAATAAGAACAAAAAAAAAAAAAAAAAAAAAAAAAAAAAAACAAAAAAACTAGCTTGGATGAGATGTGAGGTATCCGTATCTGCATGCCAACCTTCCTGTCAGACTTGGACACTCCATCATATGTTCCNAAAAAAAATAAAGATTTCAAATCAATTTGATCAATCGATCGATTGATAATAAAATGAATTGAATTAACTTTATTTACGCCTGTTCGGCAAAATCACAGACGGGTAAAACAACAACAACAATAATAAAAATAACAATAATAATAAAAAAATAAAATAAGAACAAAAAAAACTAGCTTGGATGAGATGTGAGGTATCCGTATCTGCATGCCAACCTTCCTGTCAGACTTGGACACTCCATCATATGTTCCAGGCGGATCGTTTCGTCGCATAATTTGCACGTACATGCATCTGTTCGTTTGTGAAAATTTTGATCTTTACAGAGTAGGTGGTGGAAACCATGGACCAAAAAACCGACAACCATGTGTCTGGGCCTTTTTGTGCCCCTCCATTCGATATCACAGTCATTCATCTCTCCGGCTCTATTTTTACTATCTTCGATCGTATTGAGGTATTCATTATATACCTGTTCATCGAATTTGAAATTTTTGTCGTGTAGTTCAACACAAAGTCTATGTGTATCGCAAAGTTTGTGTACATTTTCATTTGATGTTGATAATGGTAAACAGAGAACTCTTTTGAGAAAACGGTTTTTGACTCTGTCGAGTTCAGTCAGATGATTGCATTTTAATGATGGTGATATTAGGTTGAGGTTGTATGTTACAATTGGTTTAATCTTTGCGTCGAACAATCGTAATGATGAATTGATTGATATGTTTGGCACATGTTGTCCTAGTGCACCGATTGCTGCAGCAGCTTTTGCTTTAATTTTCTTGATATGTTTGGTGAATGAAAGAGATGTTTGTAATGTTATACCGAGATATTCGTAGTTGTTGACTATTTCAATTTGTTTATCATATATGGTGAAATTATCACTGTTGCATAATCTTCCGCCACGTCTGAATTTCATCATTTTGGTTTTACTCGTGTTTATCGAGATCATGTTGTTATTTGACCACTCTTCTAATGCTTTGATCGCTTTTGTCATTTCCTTTGCCGTATTACTAAGTATGACCATATCATCCGCGTATAATATGGTTTTAGCATCGGCTCTCGTCTGTATGTACTCTATCGAGTCGTTGATGAACGTTACGAACAGGTAAGGACTAAGACTATCTCCTTGCATTACACCAACTTGTTGTTTAATTTCCATGACATTTCCATGGAAATGGCGACAGTGACACAGTTGCTTGTTGAATTTTATTTTGTTGTTTTTCAACACTTCGTAGATTAATGTGATGTAATTTTCGTCGAGATCTAGTGTTCGAAGTTTGTCAAGAAGGATCTTTCGATCCACACTGTCGAAAGCTTTTTGATAATCTACGAAGAGGGCATATATTTTGCCTCTTGGTTGGCTGGTTGCGTTTTTTATTTCATTGATGACGAATTTCAAGGCATCTGTTGTTGATCTATTCCTTCTGAATCCATATTGATTTGAATTTAGCTTCTCTTCCAGTCGATTTGATATTCTTTGTTTGAGAATTTTGGTGAATATTTTGAAAGCTGAGCATTGAAGAGTTATACCTCGATAGTTATTTGGATCTACTTTGCATCCTTTACCTTTGTAAAGTAAGCACAGGCTGCTTTCTTTCCATATTTCTGGGATTCTACATTTTGTTGTACAATAGTCGAAGATATTTTTCCAGCTAGCTGCTAGTAGATCGTAGGTCGCTTTCAAGTGTTCGTTTATTACATGATCCACGCCAGCGGCTTTCTTGTTTGGTAACGCTTTAAAAGCATTAGATATTTCTTGATTTGTGAATGGATCGATTGGCTGATATTCTTTGATTTCGTATTTGAATTCTCTTGGGCTATAAAGATTGGTGAAGTGGGCTTCTAATTGATCATCACTGATGTTTACTGTGTTTCTCGTTCGTTTCTTTTTGAAAAGATTGAAAATATTCTTGTCGCCGTCAATAAGTTTCTTTATTAATTTTTCTTCTTCATATTCGGATTTCTTTTTCCTTATTGTGTTCCTGTAGATTTTCCGAGATTCTTTTAGGTCAGGATGATTGGAGCGTTGTTGTGCAATGCAAATACGTTTTAATTCAATACATTCGGAGTCAAACCATGGTTTTCCGGATCTATTGGATATCGTTCTTTCTTCCGTAGCATTTAGTATGGATTGGTTTATTTGTTCGATCGATTGGTTTAGCTCAGCTTGGGTGAGCAGTTCATTGATGTTGTCGTTGATGTTTGATGGAATCTTGGTGATGTCCACTTCTTTCTTTCTTATATTTATATTGTTGCCACAGTTTTTACTTCGTAGGGCCCATGTTGTTGTGATTTGTTTGTGTTTTCTTTGAAAGATTGCACTTTTTTCATGTTGGTATTCTGTTTTTCTTAAAAGATTTGATGACGTTGTAAAGGTAAGATCTATTGTACTTTTCCCGTTTTGTGAAATGAACGTGGGGATGTTTTTATCGGTAATTAGTTCGAGATTTAGGTTGGTGAGAACATCTTGGAGTGTTCCTCCTCTTTCTCCTTCATCGGTTCGACAATTGAAATCGCCGGCGAGGATGATTCTTGGTGAACATTTGTGGTGATTTAGTGTTTTGGTGATGCTTTCGAGAATATCGTCTAATTCGGTGTCAGGTTTGAAATAACAGCTGATGATTGATGTATCGTTTTCTTTTAGTTTAATGTGGATCAAATTTTCAGATGTTTCTATTATTTCGAAGTCGAGAGATTGTCTGATTGCAGTAATTAGACCTCCCGAGGGTCTTCCTCTTGATGGTTTCTTTGCTAGGGTTTCGACGATGTTGTAACCGTATATGAATGCTGGGTAGCAATGTAAAGTTTCGCTCAGTAGTAAAATGTCTACTTTATTTGGTTCGAAACCTGTGTTGGACGTTTTGATTGCTGAATTAAATCCTTCGATATTCCATTGCATTATTACCAATAATCTTTTCCTTGATGCTTTTCCTCGATGAGATCGTTTTGGTTTACTGTATTCGGGATTATTGTTGATTTCATTGATTTTCTGTAATGCACTCGTTATCATATCGTTTCTGGGGATGTTGGTTTTTAGGCTTATAAGCTCATCTCTGCCGTAATTGATTATCGATGTTTTTAATTTAATTTTTTGCTGTTGTTGATGATTTTTGTTCGTAAAATACCAAGTTTTACCGAAGATACGGTTCATTTTTTGCTACACCAAATATTTGGCCATGTGTTCAGAGGGCTACCCAAGCGCCATCTAAAAAAAAAAAAATCTGTTTGAAAAAAAAAAAAAAAAAAAAAAAAAAAAAAAAAAAAAAAAAAAAAAAAAAA